AATATGTCAATCCAGTCTGATTTTCTTTTTGAGAAGGTCATTGAAATCTGCTGGAGTATCAGTAGAGTGCGTAAATGATGATGCAGTAGGTTATTGGAAAACAGTGCAAATCTAATCTTTGGTGCTAAACAGCCTAAACGACACCTTCACTATGGGAGAGGTCTTTAGTGTCTTCAGCTTTCAATTTGAGCAAGCAGACCTTAAATAGCCTGCTGCAGCAGGCCCTTAGAGAGGGCTCAAAGCCAGACCTCTGAGTGTCACTCCAGTCACAGCCATTTCTGTCCCTTCCAAAGACAGAGCATGAGGTGAAACTGCTTCATCTACATCCATGCCCTGGCCACCCCAGCACTGGGTCAAGCCTTAGTGACAGCAGATGCAAAGATTCTTCTTAGCTATGGCTAGTTGAAACTATCTGTTTCTACTAGCCCGGTGGGACTGGGCTGGGGCATGGTGAGGAAGGACCTGGCAGAGGCATGTCCAGGCACCAGTTCTTGGACCCAGCCTCTTCTCCATCACTTACACTCTTCAGATATTTAGAAAAGTTAATTCAGGCAAGTACACAAAAAGCAGTCTTGTTTGCTCTACTGAGATTTACCAGGAGAAATCAACACCATGCATCAAAGTTGTAGTCATTTTTGCCCTTCAGATCCAGGCACTGAAGGCTGTTTGGAGGACTTCCAGTCATTCCCACTGTAGGTTTCCCTCTCTGCCTCACTCTCACCTGACTATTGCTTCTGGAAACAGCTCCTGTCACGTTCAGCCCCCTGGTCTAAGCAGGCTCCAGACACTGCCTTTGAGGGTGTTTTTATGTGGCCTAGTGAGGAAAGTCATGTGGCTCCCTCCTTCTATGCACCAAAGTGGTGGAATGAAATCCAGTTCTGGTTCACAAGTTCAGCTGCACCAAACCTGTTCAACCTGTCTTGGGTATTACTGTGCCAGCACTGGGCTTTGCCTTCCAGGGACGTAGATAAGGTTTGTTTTTTAAACACAACAGGGAAGTTTTCATTTATGCTGAGGGTTGTAGTTAGAAATAAGTTCATAAGATGAATCAGAATTTATAACTGTTTACACACCAGAACAAAATAGCTTACTCCACTTTTACTCAAGAGGCTGCCAAACTTCCCCCATTCTGCCCCCACACCTCCCAAAACTCGTCCTTGTCCCAGCCATGAAGAAAAATAGCAAAATCAAAGCAACTTGCCCCATACAGTCTCACCTGTGCTGGGGACCAGGAGAGCATCAGATGAACTGATTTATTTCTCAGAAGCCTGATGTCAGCAGGCAGTGAAACCAGATTTACCAAAAATTCCTGCCCCTGCCCAGACTAGGATGCATTCAGTTCCCAGAGCAGAGTGGAAGTGGAGCTGTGGCAAAGAGGTCGATGGTGTTCACTGTGGTTGTTTCCTCACACAATTGCAAGACACAGACAAATATTATGTTTGGCTTGTCTATGGGTGCACTTTCTGAGTATGGCAGATATTGTGCACCTTCCCTAGTTAAATGTTAAAATCTCTTCACATTTTTAAAGTATTGAAATATCTTCCATCCCAGAGACAACCAGTTCAGTGGGGAACAGCTCATATCTTCATTGGGGTGTGGACAAAGGGCTTCTTTTGACAGTTTTGCACACCACAACAGTTAAACTATAATACCTCCTTATGTTGTTTTTTTCCTCCTCACACAAGACACAGTATTCTAGATGATCTGTGTTCTTCATTTCCCAATGCTGCTGGCAACTTTCAATACAGCAGGATGAAAGTTTTTAGTGGTAAGAAAGCAGGAAACAAGATGCTCTGTCTGAAGAGTGTTCCTGCTCTAGAAACTACAGTTATGGGATTTGAACAGATCCAGGAGCACATGTATACTCTAGAAATGTCTTGAACGTGTCCATCATGTCCTGGAGATAACAGGGCCTTTACTAAACTTTCCCCTTTGTAGCTTCATGTCCACAGGAGGGCACCCAGGGCAGGGAGATGAGATCATAGCCAGGCCCTCTGTTTGGGTAAGTGGAGAGCAGCTTCTCCCTTTGCTGTGCTGCATGTTTGCCATAGAGTCAATTCAATAAATTTAGTGAACCAAGCTGTCTTAATTCTGATAGAAAGGAGTAAACAAAGGATCTTCTATTTCTGGAGCACAAGCAGTGGGTGATCAGTGCATTCATCAAAACATCAGTACACTGATTCAAGTCCCTGGTCTGCACCAGGCATACAGAAGATATACTTAGATAAAATTCCCATTAAGTGTTCATCTGTCCACAAGCTCTGGGTAAATTGCAACACCAGGGTGTCATGAACCTGAGGGTAAAGCAGATGGAAATGAAATGAAACTGAGAGACATCTGAACCTGTTAAAATGAGAGATGGGGAGAGAAGATCCCGCCAATCCCCTCTTCCCTGCCTTGCCCAGGCAGCCAGCCCCAGCGCCTGCCTTCTGCAGGGATGCAGCAGCACTCAGCTGTACAAAGCCCTTTAGGTACACAGGGTGAAATCTCAGGCAATGCC